ACCCCCCTTCTCGCCCCCAGTCCCGCCTTCGGTGCTTGGAGCCGGGGCTGCCCAGGAAGTGCTGGGCCGGGCCGGGGCGGAGGTGCAGCTGGAGTGCCGGGCCGCGGGGGTGCCCACGCCCCAGGTGGAGTGGACCAAGGACGGGCAGTGAGTCCTCCCCCCGGGTGGTGTGTGTTGGGTGCATGCGCCCGCCCAGGGCACAGGCGGACGGCAATGTGGGCACCCCCTGTCCCGGGAAACCCGGGTGACGCTGCTTTCGCCGGCGGGTTGCTCATCGCTCTGTCTTCTTCTTTGGGGGGGGCGGGGGGTGGTAAAACTCACATCACACGCAATGGACGACTCAGGTATCAATTCAGTGGGTCTGGCAGGTGTTTCCCGGCCCCCAGGTCCCCCTCGGCCCAGGGGGCGCCAGCAGCTGCCCCCCCCGTGCAGTCCAGGGCCTGCGGGCTCCTGCCCCTCCGCCCGCCTGCCACTGCAGGGCTTCCTTCCTTCCTGTGACGTGATGGCATCGCCCGGGGGTTTGGCCCACACCCCTGGGGCGGTGGCCCCGCACCCCTCGTCCTGCCCTGAGACACCTTCACCCACTGGCCGTACCTCATGACCACCTTCTCAGGCCCGTCCTCCTGGGAGACCCTCGTGTCCAGCTCCAGGAGGACGGCCAGGTCCTCAGGATCGCCAGCAGCCACTTGGGGGACGAGGGACGGTACCAGTGTGTGGCCTTCAGCCCCGCCGGCCAGCAGGCCAAGGACTTCCAGCTCAGCGTCCACTGTGAGCCCCACTCTCCTCACCCCACGTCTGCTGCCACCTCAGGGGGGAAGGGGGCAGAGATGAGGTCCACCGGGAGCAGCTCCCGTCCCGTCCGGCTTGGGGTGAGGGGGCCTGAGGGGGCCTGCCGGCCTTTCCCCGCCCCGGCCCCGCTTCGCGGGTGTTAACTGCCGCCGAGACCAGGCGGGCTGCTTGCTGCTTTACCTTGTCTTTCGTCGAGTCACCTCCCCCCACCCAGAGCCGCATCTGTGGGGAGGATGCTCACTGTCCGCACCGGGGCAGGCCCGCGGCCTGGGGGGTGGGGGAGCAGAAACCGGGCTGCAGAGGGCGCTGGGACCCTGCTCCCCAGTACGAGGAGGGGAGAAAGAGCTAGAAAGGCTACGTGCAGAGCCCGGGCGCAGGGCCCCACCCTGCGGCCCCACCCCACCTCCCGCCATGTGGTCACTGGTGATGACCGGGCTGGCCTCTCCGGTCATCCCAGACCCGGCCTCCCTGCCCACCCTGTGGCAGCAGCCCGTGCGTGTGAGCGCCACCCGGGGGCAGCCGCCCCCCCAGGGCTCCCGGTGATCCCTTCTTTCTCCTCAGCACCTCCCACCATCTGGGGCGCCAACGAGACCGGGGAGGTGGCCGTGGTGGAGGGCCAGCCTGCGCAGCTCCTGTGCGAGGCCCGGGGCGTGCCCGCTCCGGACATCGCCTGGCTCAAGGATGGGGTGCCCCTGGCCCCCCACGCCGAGGCCGCCTACGCCAGGGGCGGCC